CCTCCCTCCCTCCCTTCCTCCCTCCCTCCCTCCCTCTTTCGACCGAAGAAAACAATGCGTTGAGCGCCCTCTTGGGTTTGCATAAGCCCTCCCTCTCAGGATCGAGGCAGGAGGATAAAAAGTAACGGCCCAGAACGCCTAGGCATACATAGAGAGAGAGACATCTGGCAATTCTTTTCCTCCATGATCTCGGTCAAAGGGTGGAGAGCAGGAGAAAAGGAGGAAAAGGAAAAGAAAGCCATGGTGAGGTGAAGGAGGGTGGGAGGAAGGGGGGGCCAAGGTAGGCGTACTGTCCAGGAAAAGGCTTCTCTTGTACGGCACTAATGCGTGAACGAATGGAGCACAAGATGCACTAATGGAAGGAGTCAGCGTACGAGTTGACTGAAGACGCCAGAAATGTTGTGTGTCTTTGCAAATAAAAGGACAAATAACACTGAGAGAAAGTTCTAGAAAGTGTTAAAACGGTACGGGTCGCCCACGAAGCATTGTTCCTGGGCGGAAATTGGTTGTCTTTCATTCTTTCTTGTTTACATAGCATTGAAATTGCCGTACTCTAGTTCTCTACTTCAATAATGTGTTCTCTACTTCAATAATGTTCCACTTGAAACCTGACAGCATGAGTATCTTTATCACTTTGTCGCCGAGGACAAGCAGTTAGATGAGAGACAAGCACGGGTAGATTAAGGGCCATTATGGCTTACACACTTGGATGTATATCATGACTCCCAAGCTGGTGATATTCCAGAGACGGAGACTGCCTGTTCGTCTTAGATGCTGCTGTGTGTGTAAATCTATAGCTAACTATCTTCCTACCACGCCTTCCTGCCATTTGGATCACCTCCTCAGTCATTATCGACCTGACCATTGATTGAAAGCCTGAGACGGTCTGTGCGATCATGTGTTTGGTCAAAGTCTACCTCTATTATTCACCTCGGCTGCTCCATACTCTGCCCTTGAAGTCAAAGGAATGCCCGACACCATGGGACTTACTTCCGGGGATATATATGAGATATTTTGGCCTTCCAACCCAACACTCCCCTTTCGTTTACGCCTACAATGATTTCTATCACTGCTATACGCAAAGGTACGCATGAACAGGCACAAATCTGCGTCCATCGACGTCTTACGGAATCGATCTAAAATAGTCGTGGTACGAAAGCAAGATTGAATGTATATTGCAAGGGCTTCACATATTATTTTTGAGCTGGCGCAAATATGGCGGGGCTCTCGGGGATTATCCGATAACGGCTAACATGGTCTCTGAGGGCTCTTGCCCTTGCCTGAACGATGTTTTTGATTGACCTTTCCGATGTGTAGGTATGAAAATGTGACAAATGCGTGTAGTAGTCTTTCCTCTATCTTTCTGCGTGGTGAGCTGCCTATGGGACACGCATGAATGGTCGTACTGCCCTTAAATTTTGGACGGTATTTTTTGCTTCGGGTGCACCCTACTTGCGGACTTGAGGATGCTCATACAGTCAGCAGAGACTCGTTAAAAAAGTTTTCCCATCATTTCTTCCGAGGACTTAAGTGGTGAGAACGTGGTCAGCGATGGAGCAGCTCCTTTTGCGGATGGTTGAGCGGCACCGGGAGGCTTTGTGCGAGTCGATGGATACCACGTGGAAGGAGAACTTGATTTTTCCCCGACTGCGCGCCTGTGCATAATAAAGCCGAAGGAAAAAATGCGACGCTCGGCTATTCGTAGAGCTGAATACTACGACCAGGACAGACGACCACGCCAGCATGTGGTAAAAGACCATGTTCGACACACCATGTTTGCAACATTGAAATAAGGTCACTAGCATGTCAATCGGAATAATTTATATCGCAACACTCTGAGCGTTGTGAAGACGCGTCATTTTATGAAAATCCGACCCAACAAGCCTCCTGAGCAACAACCTCTCAGCTTTTCCATTTTCACAATCCTTTCCCTCCCCCGCCGCAATAACGCCTGGTTGGAACTTAGGATTTTCTTCCCTACGTATATATATTGATCGAAAACATCAATTTCTGGGCGCTTTGAGGATGCCAGAGTCATCCAAGAACGAAGGACAAGTGAAACGCGATCAAATTATAATCGCCACGCCAGGTGGGTAATGCATGCCTGAGAAATGAGGACCGGGTATTGTGGCGGATGATGATGATTAAGGTTTTTAAATCATGACGACAGTCCAGGCTGCGACGATCGAGACCTGAGTAGAAGTGATAGCGGGACGCGGGAAAGAGGGAAAGGTAGCATTGGCCACGCGCGCCTCCATAGGTAGATTGTGCCACAGGAAAATTGCCTTTTGTGAACCTTTACCCTCTTTCTCCCTCCCTTCGATCGCCGTCCACAGAGCCCAAGGCCATCCCCCCCTCGACGCCTCCCCTCCCTGGGCCCTTCCCTTCCATTCCCCCACCTCATCCTCCCACGTCACACCGCACCGTCCCTCCCGCCCCGGGCCCCGTGCCCCATTCGAAGCCTCCTTCCTCCTCCAC